GGCTGGCCAGAATGGGAGGAGAAAAATCTTCTCCCTTGGTTGGATGCCCATCGGGAGCTGTCGTGGAAAGCTCTCTCCGACGCATACTATGAAGAATATCAGGTGCATCGAAGCGTTGAATCTTTACGAGGGAAAAAGTACCATATTCTGCGAAAGCAGAGTCGCACTGGCGCCAAATCTTCCCAGAATCGAGGCAAACCAAAGCGAGCAAGCGCTGTGCGACGCTCTGTGGTTGATAGCGCTTCACAGTCGGGTCTTCCAGCGAAGACCCCTGCCCAAAGGAACATCGACAAATGTTTTCAAACAATTCTAGCGGCCGACCCTAACCAGCCTGACGACAGCAAAAACCCAACTCAAACGAACCCTATTTCAGGTACGAAACACTTAATCTTCTCATATTACATGCTGACCCTTTGTCACAGAATACGTGACGCCAGCACCGCTTCCGTACCGGCCTAAAAGAACACGGTCATCCTGGAGGTGGGACTATGTGCATCGTGTCTGTGCCGCCAGGAAGCTGAGATACCGGCGAACAGAGCATGCACTTTAGCAGCATTTCATCGGCTGGAGCGCTACATTGCGATGTCGAAGGAACAGTGGCCAACTATCTTGATAAACTAGTCCTGGTACATGTTACTATAATAAAGGCTGTGATCAGCAATGAAGCCTCAGCATGAGAAATATAAGCGTGGTTGCATATCATTCCATGTATTCCGTATAGAAATGAGCAATTGCCCTTCTTCGGAATGACAACAATAGTGAGGAAGTCCCAAAGTCAAAAGGTAAGGATTCGAGCATGATGGTGGTGCCCTTGGAACAGGCCCGCCTACACATTTTCATCTTTGTCATGCAAAACCAGGAGGATTTCATCGGAGTGTTATGTGGCCCGGGAAGTACTGCGGACATCGTATAAGGATCATGATACTATGAGTGTTCCCGTAGGGAGACAGGACATGGTAACAAGAGGGCTCTGGGAAAATGAACATATCTGGAATTCTTATTGGCTCAAGGTAATACGTCTGCCTGGATTTGATTGGATCGATGGTCGAAAGCAGAGTAATCTTTAGAGTGAAGCGTACGATTTGTTTTGACCCACACCCAAGTCAGGAGGAAATTAGTTTGAAACATACCGTTGAATCACGAGCGCAGCTGTCGATCATGAGCGGAACCGCAAATCATTTTGACAGCTTAGTTTGGATGAACCATGGAAACGCTCGCTCGGTGAGAGAATGCGATTGTCATGAAGGATTCAAGCCCGGGCTTCTTCCCCACTTGCTCTTTAGGTTGCTCGTGATTAAGCCCTACAGCCTAAAGGCAAGTCCAAAGAATTGACGCAGAATCACGACAGTCTCGGTCTGTTTATGTATGGGATATTGGAAAAGACCAATACTTTACTAGAAAGATTCTTCATCGCCAGAGTCTTGATCAAGCTGCGCAGGGTGATTGAAATAAAGCTTAGGGGCCGCAGGAGGGCCGGCCCACAACGTCGACTCATGCCCAGGAGCCAACCGGTCTCTCGGCTTTTAGTGCAAAAACCGGAGATATTGTTACATAAGCTCATGTGGTCTGTTCATGATTGGCATAGTTTCTACAAGCTATCCGCTAGAGATATGGGACTGGCTGATGAGGGGGTTGTGTCGGATTCAGAGAGAGTACAATCTCTACCGGAAGGTCTATGCAAGACAGAAAGACATAGCTTCTAGAACGTTCTACAGACCCGATAGACAAGGAGCAACGTGCCACTGGACAGGAGAATCACTCTCCTGTGACAGGAACCAGGAAAGCATAACCACGGATCGGGATTTAGCCTACCATTCTGTTGCCAGAATTCCGCGTGATATTCCAAATACCTCACCTGCCTGGACCGTACCTCGACCGTACCTTCTACGTAACAAAGTCCTTTTCCATCGGACACTGACAGCCGTCAAGTTTGGGCTTCTGGATCGTGTCTGGACCTTTGCAAATCCTTCATTTCTTCTCCGGACCATAAATAGAACCTCCTTGATCTACTGTCCCGTGGGTCGTCGCTGGGATCTGCATCGCACCCTGTACAGTAATATTCGAAATCAGATTTACCTCTATTCTCTCTCTTACTCTCTCCCAGCGCCCCACCAGAAACCAACTATACCAGATTAGGCAGTCTTTCCGCCCGCCTCGCAACTACTGAAGTACCTTCGATGAGTCATAATATATTACGGAAAATTGCCACCGAGGACAGCGAGCAACAAACCCCGATTCACTTTTAACAAAAAAAAATTGAAAAATCTCATCACAGCCTGGATTGGTGGAATATGAATCAAAATCAATTCAATCCAATCATTCTGTCGCCTGAAGAGTTCAGGGAACGCGTTCATCGTCCAGCAAAAAGAGGAAAGACCAGCTGCCAACCGTGTCGGGGACGCAAGGTGAAATGTGATGGAACACAACCATGTGCAACATGCCAGAAGAGAGGTCATACGGACCTATGCTCCTATGGTGCTTCACTTCGTGAGTGGAGACCAGCAGAACAAAGTTACGAAACCACTAGAGAGGGAAGGACGACTCCATTCTTGGGGGATGACTCGATCCCTGCCTTCGTGGAATCTGAAAATCTTGAAAATAAAGATCAGTCAAATGGGGGTAGCTCTGTGAATGAATGCTTCCTACCTATGCTCGGACTCAGATCTGCAGTGGCTTCTCCATACCCTTTCATGCCTCCATTGTCATCCAATCCCTGGGAAGAATTGACTAATGACCGGGATAGTGTAAAGTAAGTTCGCAGGTTTCGATTCTATGTCTAGGATGTGTTAGGGATAAACAAATAGAGAAGCACGGTGGCAGATACTGATCTTTATTCGCTAGATTCTTCCAATGCTATCGACAACAGGCGCATCCATACATGCCGGACGTTCTTGGAATTGATGAGTTCGAGCGCGAGCTGTGTACTTTTCTTGAGGAGCCAACGAGAGACATGCAAAGTGGTTTCAGGACGGGAAAGCCCTTTGATTGGCTTGGTCTCCTATTCGCGATTTTGGCCTTTGGTGTGCAGGTCTCCGATCTTAGCTACAAGGAGCGCATCCGGCTCTCGCAAGCTTTCAGTAAGCCCCACAGGATCCGGATGAATGGTTTCCGTCCTACCATTGCTCACCCGTGAATAGCCGAGTATTCATTTCAATTTCTTCGCCAGGCCAATTTCCTACTTAAGCCAACAAGAACTTGTGTCCAAACATTCTTGATACTTGGAAACGTATTACGGAATGATTGCAAACCAGAAGCGGCTTGGATATTACTAGGAACAACCGTAAGGTTGGCCCAGAGTATTGGACTCCATAGAGAAAATTGTGACGAGCACACGACGCCCCCTTCTCATAACATGAAACGGAATCTCTGGTAGGCGCCGGAAAATCCCAGACGGGATGTTACCTCTTACACCTTTCCCAGGTTATCCGTTATATGGCAAGATACCATCCTTTCACTATGTTTCGACCGACCACCTGCTACCCTCCCAGCTCTACTGGTTGCACCGGAAGATAAGGTTTTATCCTACAAAGAAGCGATGTATCACCTCAACTATTGTGCTAGCCATGGTCTCTCACTGTCGAAGACACAGGAATTCCCACAGATTGCTAGAAATATCGAAGAGATAGAAAAGATATTTGCTAGGTCCTGCCCCGAGCTGCAAGACACAAATCGTTGTTCTAGTATTCAAGAGCACTGCCACTATTATGCACTTAGATTACATGTCTCATTTGCGATATCTTGGCTCTGTCGTCCGGCACTCTCATCACGCACACGGTCTTGGCCGGATACCGAAGTTCGGGATTCGCTTGCTAAAAAGTGTAAGCAGAATCTCAAAGAAAGTCTGCGTGCTTTCATAAAACTTCAATCTTTGAGTGTATACGCTTCGAGGTCTTGGGGGTTTTTCCATAATGGCATTAGTTCAGCTCTTTTGTTGGCTCTTATGGATGATACAAATCATGACCCCGAAGTGCGGAGGTTACAAGGTAGTCTGATCAATGTCCTTTCGACCGGTATCCCTGGAAAAGGCGGAGATTCCGAATCCAGCAACCTTGTCTTATCTAGGATGCATATAAGGGCGCTCAGCACTCTTAAAAGCCTCTATGGGCGACGGAGTACCCCTAGCAAGGAGAACGAACCAAATGAGGGCAGCACATCGAGGCCGAAGGTATCGCACAATGTTCGACAGAAGAACGCAGATATGGGCTACATTCATCCTCTTCCCAGCCCTCTCCCCACAACCTCAGAGTGAGTCTTCCCTGACGTGTAATACTCTTGCTTTATTAATTCTACTTCTATCCTCGCGCATTTTTAAGTCATTTACTTATAAGTACCGCCTGCAGAGATACTGCCGACAACAATACTATAGTATCAGACAATATTTTTACCGGCCTGCTTGACGAAATGTCTCCATTTGATCTTTATGATTCCATACTCTGGAGTAGGTAGTATCTGGCTCGCCCGATATTCCATGCAGTCTTTTACTTACCATGGGTCGTTGCCAGATTCCCCGCCCCTACCGGAAGACTTTGAGGAAGCTTTTTGTGTTTTACCAGAGCTTTGACGGTTTACACTCGGTCTTCAAATCTTCGACAATCCAAATTTGTTCCGTTGCTCCTCACTCGTATTATAAATCTACCTCATGAATCGCTCTAAGGAGGCTACATATTAAAAAGTACTCTGTTTCCCTGATCTCCAACATGATTAACACCCTAAGCAGAGTAGATATTATAATTCAGACTACAAATACGGAGTCATCATTTGCTTTTCGTTTCTCCCGTTTTACTAACTTTATCTTTGTTCTTTCTTTCTTTTTTCTTCTTTTGGTAAAATGATCTAACACCCTTCCTTCTATCATTTTCTTCATAAGGAAACAATGGACTAATGAAACACATTTGATATGAGACTTTCACTACCTAGTGTAGCTGAGAAAGACTAACCTGAATACGGTAACCGAGCAATTCCGAGCTTGTTCGGAAGCCTAGTTTGGTTAGACTTTCCTGGGCAGGGACTGAAACGGCTAATCCTCCGTTTATTTTTTATTTTTCATATATTTTTTTTTGGGTAAAATGATCTAACAACCTCCATCACTTTCCTCAAAAAGAAAGATGAACTAATCAAACACATTTGATATGAGACTTTCACTACCTATTACTGTTCAGTGTAGTGGATGAAGACTAACCTGAATATGGTAACCGAGAAATTCCGAGCTTGTTCGGAATTCTGGTTTTGTTACTCTCCGAGGCGAGGACTGAATCGCCAATCCTCCGCTTTTGGATTGAATTAATACAACATATAAACTATTCTCTCCCCTCTTGTTTTCGGGCTTTTATTTTCTGGCCTCTTTCAAAACGAACGAAGCGAAACGATACGGACATCTCGAATCACTTCCCGTGAAGGCCTGCATGAAACTGCCAATTTACCCTGATATCTAGATCCAGGTCAGCATATGTACGTGACCTGGAATTTTTCAGGAATACACATTAAATGATGGAGCAAGACCTCGGGAATTCAAGGAGGATTGCGGAGGAGTCCGCGGATCCGACCAGCCAACAACAACACGAAGACAATACGATATATCCTCATTTCAAGGGCGACGAGAACGGAATCGGTTCCATTGATGTCAATCAAGAAAACGAGACAGGACCCGAAAGTGATGGTCTCACCAGACAATCAACCCCTACAACCGTCCTAGCCCGAACTCTCTTCTTCATCTGCATGAGAGAATCAGGACGAGACCCCGGCCCCCCTCCCGACGGCGGCTTCAAGGCCTGGTCCCAAGTCGCGCTGGCCCATCTTGTCATGTGCAACACATGGGGGTACATCAACAGCTTTGGCGTCTTTCAGACGTACTATACCGAAACCCTGCACCGCCCGCCCTCGGATATCTCCTGGATCGGTAGCGTCCAGACCTTTCTGCTCTTTTTCATCGGAACCTTTTCTGGAAGAGCGACCGATGCTGGGCTTTTCAAGCTCACTTGGGTGATTGGCGCAACGGCTGAAGTTGTTAGTATCTTTTTGACTTCACTCTGCACCCAATACTGGCAGTTGTTCCTCACGCAGGGAGTCCTCCAAGGCATCGGATGCGGTCTCATGTTCTGTCCCACCATGTCTCTGGTACCAACATACTTCACCAAACGACGAGCCCTCGCCATGGGGATTGTAGCGACTGGTTCGGCTACAGGAGGACTGGTCCTCCCTGGAATCGTGAACGCTCTTCTACCACGGGTAGGATTTGCCTGGACGATGCGCACTCTCGGGTTCATCACCCTGGGTTCTCTTCTTCCGAGCCTGCTTTTCCTCCAACAGCGGCTTCCGCCGCGAAAGAGTGGTCCGATCGTCGAATGGGTGGCGTTCAAGGAGGCGCCCTATTCGCTCTTTGCCATCGGCATGTTCTTCGTCTTCTTGGGTCTGTATATTGGTTTCTTCTACATCGGGAGTTATGCGACAAATACTCTTCACGCGTCGGAGTCAACTTCCATAAACCTGGTCATGGTCATGAATGCCGTCGGCATTGTCTCTCGTATTATCCCCTGCTTTTGTGTGGACATGTGGACGGGCCCGATGAATCTGCTTGTCCCGTTCAGCCTTCTCAGTGCAATTATCGCCTATGCCTGGGCCGGAGTCGACAGCGTCGGGGGACTGTACGCATTCTCGGTAGTTTATGGTGCTGTCACGGCCGCAGTGCAAGGCATCTTCTCCGTCACGCTGACCACACTGACAGCCGACCTCAAAAAGACCGGCGTCAGGTATGGGATGGTTCTGAGCATTCTCAGCATTGATGTCTTGACAGGGAACCCGATTGCAGGGGCATTGATACAGATAGATGACGGTGAATATCTATACATGCAGATGTTCATGGGTAGCTCCATGCTAGTGGGGACCTTAGCTCTGGCTGGCGCAAGAATTGCCAAGTCGGGCGTCGCATGGGTTCGAACATAACCATGGTTTCGGTATATATTTTTGATTGAGCATACACCAGAGAAGAGTCTTCATAGAGCGAGTTTATAATCTCAGTGCGTTGAAATGTACGACTGGACTAGCTAAATTGCTGGGTTCAACCATTCGATTGAACGAGATTGCTTAAGTCTGGACCCCCAGTATCAAGTACTCCTCCACCCATTTATAGTGATAAGACACATTTACCGACGGCTCAGTGGTGTCCACAATCGTTAATAATGATGAAAGGTTCACCGCTACCCTAGCTGACACTTGCGCATGAATTCTGAATGTGATATGCCTGAGGCGTAAATGCTGATATCACAACACGTGATTTTGAGTTGATCTGGGGGATGTGAAAGACCAGGATTATTACCATAATATATTATGACTCATCGAAGGTACATCAGTAGTTGCAAGGCGGGCGGAAAGACTGCCTAATATGGTATAGTGGGTTTCTGGGTGGGGCGCTGGGAGAGAGTAAGAGAGAGTATAGAGGTAAATCTGATTT